ACATGGGCGTTATAGTGAATAATTTGACAGTTTTATTTGAACGGGACTCGTCCGAAAAAAGTCAACGAAGCTGTTGAAATTCCATCCGCAGGTGCATGAGCATCCCGATTCGACCGTTTTTGGTAAAGCCGGCAATAAAATAATTCAAAGTGAGATAAAACTAATTAATTAAATTCTGAGAAACAATTGTTTCATTTTTATTTTCTTGCTTTGGATGAAGGCGATAATCGTAAATATTATCCAAAACTGGATACTGGCGACACTCTATCTCTCCCTTTTCTTCATTCAATTAACGATGATTGCAAGAAGAAGACAGAATGTGACAACCGTGTCTGGCAGTGAAGCGGAAGGATTGTAATTCCAAGAAGCAATTTCACAAATTGATGTCTACACTTTTAATTCAAGTATTTCTTTGGATACTTTCGTCCTTCTTCTCTGCCTTACATTACATACGAGGTGGCGTCATGAAAAATTATACAATTTTCCTTTTCTGTACCCGATAATGTATCTACTGAAACTGGACTTCCGGATTCTAACTATATTTTATTTTTCGATATCCCCGTCACGGATCCTGGTGGCGTCAGAAATGTTCGATGCTGTTACTGAATTTTCAGGAATTTGCAGGATTCCCAACTGTTCAGCTGAAACCCCCATGATCCACCGAGATAAAAATGTCTTTCAAAGTCTCTGAAAGCGAGACTCGAGTCTCCGTTTCTCATCGAGTCTCTCTGGTGTCACTGAGAGAGACTGTCAAAAAAACTGTTTAGCGTCTTTGAATGAGAGACTCGAGTCGCTCATAGAGACATCCTCATTTCGTATTCAGTCTCTGAATGAGAGACTCGAATCTCTGAACGAGAGACTCGAATCTCTGAATTAACAATTTTATCGTTCGAGTCTCTCATACAGACTGTGAGAGATCCATAAAAACACCTAGACTGTGAGAGACGATCTCAAAGACGCTGAAAGACTCTGAGAGACTGAAAATTTTCGTCTAGGGCCGCCATAAGGATTTCATCAATAAGATCGGTCGAATTCCAGAAATCCAGGTTCTTCAGATGACAACCATGAAAGCGTTAATCAACCTCTTCAGAAAATTGCTACTTATTATACTATATGTTATGATTTTAAGAAATATCGTATTTGTTGGGGCGCAATTCATGATGCGCCTTTTGAACAACGAAAAACATCTGTGTATTTCGCAGTGTTAAGTTTATAATAACGTGCCTGCAACAAAGGAATGTTATCGTTATTGTATTTAGGTTTTTCCTCGGCAGGTAACGTCCCTTCGCGTTAGTCACCAGATGGGTCGATGGTCTTTCCATCCACAACAATATTCTGATTTTAGTCACGTAGTCACTAACCGTAGCCTAAGGTCAAAAACACCCCACTAACGTACCTCCACCCCCTATATTTTCTTGTTATATTTAAGCATTTTATCTACCTAATAATCTCATTAAGTTTTCATGTTTTCAACCATTTAGTTTTCTCTGCCAAGTTCAATCAATTATCTATTCAGTTCATCAGTAGTTCATTCATTGTAGTTATTTTTAAGTGTTTTTTTTTGGTGTTTGTTTAAGTGTATGTTGATTATTAAAAAGTTAAAAATCACATAAGTCGTTTACTGCTCGTACTGCTCCAAGAAGAATACCACCGATAGAAAATATTCGGCCGTTATATCTAAAAAATAGACTTCGATAAATTAATTTTTATCGAAGAGGGTTTAAGTGTTCCTTAGGAAAATCTAGGCCAGCAACACACCCGCAACATTCAACAGTATTTACGAAAAAATATATCAGAACATTATTGGTGTCCTTCCTGCATATCACACCCAAAGCCCCTGGTATCGCGCAGAGTGGATCCGTGTGCTGGATCCTTGAAGACCGTATGTCGTATGGCGGTGCAGACATCGAGGGTAGGGCAGTAGCTGCTTGTAATTATTATTCAAAATATACCTTCTACGTCTTTTAATTGGCCGTTATCTAAGGTCGCCTTGTGTATTTATTTATTTGTCGAGCTCGCTGCTCGGACGGTCGGGTCGGTTGGTCGGCCGGCCGTTCGTCCTGCCGGGATCGTCGAGTTTGCCACCGTCATCCGGTACAGTCCGCAAAGCAAGTTTTTGTCCTCGCGCAACTTGTTACAACTTCAGACAAACAAAACGCGGATTAATTAGTGTACGGGTACAATTAACCGACGAGTTCTTCTTCTGCCACGCAAAAAGCTGCAACTGCTGCATTGCTTGCTGTACGTTCCAGAGAGAGTCGCCGTCGCACGGATGCTTAGATGACGTGCCTCTCTGACATTAATTAACGAGTTTTATCAACTGTAACGGCCTCCTTTTTAATGGCGTCAAATTAGTAATTGATGAGAAACACATGATTAGACGAAACATTTTTACGCCGCATTAGTAAATTCAACTCATGGACTTCGAAAATACAAACGCAAAATGACAATCACAAGTTTTTAATATCTACGGTATAATAAAAACCTTTCGATTCCTGTCCTTTTGCTCGTTTTAATGATGCTCCTTTTACTATAATCCTGAATCAATTAGTTCCATCTCCTTATTCCAAGAATTTGGATTACAATTTCCTTTAACAAGAGAAATCACCAAACACATTGAATTTATAAGAATTTTTCATTTCTAATTCCTTCCTATTCACTATAAACCACAATCTCATCACTTTCATTTTCATTCTAACGATTCCAACTTTTTTTACAACTACAACAAAAATATTGGATTTATTGGTATATTTCATTTCTAATTCCTTCCCATTTACTATCAAACACAATCTCATCACTTTCATTACTATTTTAAGGATTTCAAGTTTTTTGTTTGTTTTCGTGTAAAAAGGGAAATCTTCGTAGACACACAGTCGTCCGTACAACTGGATATTGTTGGATTACCTCCTGGAAGGACCTACCAAGTAAAACCCCTCTGCCTCATGTCGTTATAGAATTTAGTCCTCTTTAGTCGAGGATTCCAAGTCCCTACTGCTGAACCAATAATATTGGATTTATATTAAGCATAACTCATTTCTAGTTGTTTCCCATTTACCTTAAACCGCAATCTCATCATTTTCATTATCATTCTAAAGATTCCAAATGCTTTTTATTGAATTTTTCGTCAGAATTTCATGTACAGAAAAAGGAAATTCGTGAAAATGGAAAATCCTTTTAAGACTTGTAAACCTGCCGGTATACGAAAGAAAAAGAAGTTTACGTTTGAGAGGATTGTGAACCTTTTGGAAGGTGAAGTCCAATAATGTTGCACCGTATACGGCGCGAATTCTCCATTTAAGTCTTCTTCCCATAGAATTGAGCAGTAGCAGGTCATTAAAAAGCCTTTATCGTTTACTGAGAGCTTAAGAAAAACGGTAAACGTCCAGCAGTTTCAACGACAAACCGATCTAGAAGTGACACGAAGCATACAAGCCACTCTTGGCCGTAACAGGAAAAGGTAAAACACATTTAAGAAAAGCAATTTGTATCATTAATTAACAAATTAACATTTAAATTGTATAAACTAGGTATACTTGGGCTTCGAAAACCAGAAGCCGTTTATCCGGTAGGTACTGGCTCGCAGTTGGAACGGTCGAGAAAACTGTCGCTTTATTTTACTGTTGTGCCTTTAGAAGGTGCTTTGTAAAAACGATACAATTAAACAGAAGCCGCAGCTGCGACATTCTATTAATTGTCATTAAGAAAAAACTTAGGCAGGCATTTGAATCCTCCGTATTAATATTGTTTTCTTTCGATAAAATATTTCGTTGGACAGATCCAACGGATAACATTTCAAGCATATTTTAAAACCCCATTCGAAGGAGGACAGAGTAGAAAATGAATACAAAAATAACCGCACTAAAATAGTCAACAACAGGAGTTGTTGATGTTTATCTTGATTTTTGGAGAACCTAATAACGAAAGTTTTAAAGCTTGAATAATGATTTTTGTTATAGAAATTAAACAATGTTAAATGGGACAAGATGTTAAATATAAATATAAAGATGTAGGGATGAATTACAAAGATAGAAGAGTGATACTTAGTTTGTATAAAGAGTAACAGGCAGTTATAGAGCTGGGGATGCAACGTAGAGAAGTAAATATTAGGAAGGGAGTCACGCAGGGATGCACACTGTCACCACTACTTTTTAATCTATACATCGAAGACGCCATCAACATCATTAAAGACAGTACAACTGTAGGGATAGATGTGCAAGGGCAAAAGATTAGTATGCTTAGATTTGCAGATGATATAGCAGTATTAGCATCTAG